CTAATCAAATTAGTTAAATGGGTCTTATATTAAGGACCGGAGGAGTATTTTGGTTGTAGTTAGTTAGTTGGGATTTTGGAAAAAAATTTTTGTGGCAATTCAAGATGGCACGATTGTTGGATTAAAAGCTTAATTATAATTCTTAATTCATTGTTTTAACTTCCATATCTGTTGAAATGAGGATTTCCTGTGCTGTTGAGTTAGAGGATTGATTACTATCATTGTCTACTTGGTTGTTTTATTTCAATTCATTCACCATCATTTGCTTAAAATCATTTTCATATAAAAACATCAGAAACAAGTCTTTTAATTTCAATTTAGTTCATGGCATTTAGTTAGTAATTCATCAAATCAAAATCCTTTTTTGTATTTTAGGTTGTTTGCGTTTATTTATTGGGATTTAATTTCATTTTCGGCTCCTTAAAGTGAATACAACCCAAATCGTGCACTATATTGCATTAATTCAGTTAATTTTTGAAGTAACTCCAAGGTGACAAATTAAGGATGTTGTTTCAGTACCATTTTGCCCTTCTAAGTTTTACTTGTTTTTACTTTCATCCTTTCTCTATTTTTCTGAAATTATAAGATAAATCCATAAATTACTCCATAATGTTTAATATATATTTTCCTTCTCCAATAGCTCCCTTAACCCATGAAATAACTTCTTTAAAAATTTTTGAGTCAAAAACAACTCATAACTACTTTTTTTTGAATTTTCCAAGACAATAGGTCCTAAATCCCCAAAATTATCTTTATATATAATTGTTTGGGCTATATTTTAAGGGATTTAAATATTAAAAATTTCTCTAAAATATTTTTCTCAATCATGCCTTAACTATATTCACAAAATTTGGGATATTATAATTGTTGGTTAGATTATATTGTTTGGGTGGACAAACTTGAGAGGAGGCTATAGCCAGTTAGTAGAAAGTGATTTCATGATTGCAGATATTTGCAAAGGCTCGCCAGTATTTCTTACATACCATATACTACCTCTGATCATTAATATAAAAACTAGTTTAATATTTAATTTGGTCCTAAATATAATACCACATTCTATTTCATCTCTCCTATTTATTTATTTTTTCTCAAGGTAGTCCTTCCAGTAGCTGCACATGTTAAATATTTTATCAAATGGTAATTCTAGCAAATACACATTATTAGCAAGGTTATTTTAAGAAATACAACACCTATATATTAAAAATAACTAGCTTAACTCATTTTATTAATCTACTCAAATTAGTCAACTAGCTCTTATAGAGTAGTATTACATTTCAATACAAGCATTCAATATATGTGTGTGAGAGAGGTGGGTGATATGATCATAAGAAGAAACCTCATGGGGAGATTCCAAAGTTTGCTAAAAGAAAAGGATAGATAGAATAGTATGTCGGCATATAGGTCTTATTTTTGACATATGGTTCCCATAAAAGTAGAGTTTACTACTGCATAATGTATCTATTTCTTTGTAGATCATATATGGGTAGGTTCCCTACTCATTTGGTATGCTGGAATTGATTTTAATACAAATAAAAATAGATTTGGAGATGTAAAAATTGCATTTCATCATCACACGAAATTTGGAAAGAGAATATATATATATCAACCTGAGTATATGTGAAGGTAGGCTTGCTTTTGTGTTATACCCCATGAAGTTGATGACAAAAACCTCATGACAGCGACGGTGAAGACCCCACGACACTGATAGTGATGATAAAGATCTCAAATAGAACATGCATGAGTATTAGGGTTTAAAAAAATAGCTTAGGGCAAAAACAATGACTATTACCTATAGCAAGAATAGAACGGCAATGAAAATAGGGACAAATGATAGCAGTAATGGCGATGTGGAAGGGACATCATGAGCACTCAACAACGTCCCACCACAGCTCAAGAGGAGAGAGTGTGCATTGAGAGTGTTTCTTAAGGCTGCAAAATTAAGTGCAAGAGAGACCTTATATAGCTAGGGCAAAGGATTTACCATAGTTACACCTAGAGATCAGTGTCACATTACGTACTACATCAGACACGATAGAGCCATGTAAATGTTCATTACTAAATTAGTTTTCATCACAATTAGCATAAATTTCATTCATGCAAAACCTAAAGAATTACCAGTTCGCGTTCTTTAAACTGGTGAAGTTTTAGAGTTTGCTATTACCAGAGTTAAACACTAGTAAACAGGGAAAAATGACAATAACATGAAACAAAATGAACACATCGATCAGGTCATAAAATAGCACTATATATATATATTATATATGAGATTGGGGTGAGTAAACCCTTATAAAATATTTCAAAACAAAAAAAGATTACATTTTTTACAAGAAAAGATTAAATTTTTTACATTTTCATCAGAGGAGGAGGCACTTGAAGGGCTGTCTAAAAAGTCATACTCGATGTCCTAATCATCAAGTAGGAGTTTAACTTTGTTGTTGAGGACATAGAAGTGATAGACCACGTGGCGGAGGCTACGCTTAGTTGCACCTACTTTTGTCACTTGTTGGTCAAATGAGGGAGGCAAAGGAGGGGGAGGCTATGATAATAGATGGTGACAAGACATGGTGAACTTTCAAGTTCAGACACGTTATTTCAGGGAAAAGAAAAAAAAAGAGACTCATCTGTTCATTTCAAACACTGATTGTTTATAATAAATGTTGTTTTGAAAGATAAGTTACATTAATATATGCTGTAAATAATAAGAATTACATTAGTGTCACTGCCTCATTTGTTACATCATTAGCGCAAAAACCGGGACAGATAAGGTTGTGTGAAAGGAGTTTTTTTCTAGTAGTGTATGAATAAACTATATATTTGGTCCTTAAATTTTATAAAAATTTCAGTTTGCTCCCTTAATTTAAAGAGTATATTTTTTATCATTGAATCCTAAAATCACCAGCCTTAAATGATGACTTTTTGTAAGAATCATGGTTGTCTTGAAAATTAAACTCTTTTACCATTTGATAATGTGTTATCAATATTCAAGATCTCAATATCATCATTATTTATTAATAATTTTTGGGTTAAAGGATTTACTATACTTTTTAAAGCTAACGGACTAAATTAAAATCTTGTGTAAAATTAAAAGATTAAAAATACAATTTATCCTCTAAATATTGACTAATGATAGTTAAGGATAAGGATACAATAGTATTTTTACAGCGTAATATGTAAATATATAATAAAAAATCATAAAAAATTATAAAGAAATTAAAAAACACACATGACTACTCCTTGAAGCCATCATATAGAAAATAATATACTAGCGTGGTGTCTTTTTCCTATTATAGATTTTCAATATCTCCAGCACCCTTAAATCGTATAGCAGGCTCAAACAAGGATACAATTACAAGTTACATGAACTTTATATGAATTCATAAATATGTTTATGGTTGAACAATCATGGACAATACTTACATCAATTTCTTTATATTTATTATATCAAATTCTTCAATCATATATGACTATGTGCCCTATTTTTGAAATATTACAATTTAATAATATTTAGTTATAAATCCACATGAAAAAAAAAGACACATGATCATATACGATCAGAGAACTTGATATAATGAATATATGAAACTTGACCTAAGTTTTTTTTGGGGTATGTAGATGCATGGAATGGAATAATCATGCATATAGTTAATATAATATTAATTAATTATTTCATTAATTGTGTAATTGCTAGGCGTGTGTACGATGGGTTTCTTTTGTTAGATGAAAGATGACACCAATTAAAAGTGTGTGGGTAAAAAAAAAGGTGTGGGTCATCTAGACAATTGAAAAATGAGTTTTTATACCACTTAAGAAAACGGTAAGACGGATTTACAAAGTCAATTTCCTTTTTTTCCCCCCTTGAATTTATGGTTTTTCTTTTTTTTTGCATTTTTGGGTGAATTTTCATAGTTACACTTAAGATTGAAATTTTTATAAATTAAACTTTTAACCTTGTCATAATTTGTCATTCATGTAATCCTCTTTAATATCTCCTAGGGGTTTAAAATAACTTATAAGTCCTTTCCAATTTAAAATATCCTCTAAATCACCTATTATTCTACAATGTCATAATATTTATTTGCATTTGAGTACCCTAAACGTTTATAATTATAATTTAGGTTTTGTACACTTTTCATCTTTTTCTCCCTAAATTATACCTTTCTTCTTTTGCATTTAAATCCCTATTTTCTTTTATTTCGACCCTTATGCTTTCCCATAGTCTCTGAAAATATATATACTCTATCCCAGAAATATTTTTAATTTGCGAGTTGTCCCTGCGGACCATTTTATCACTTGTGGGACTTCTTTAATTGGGCTTGATAGCACAATTAATTCAGTCTCATTTCTTAAATTATAAACCTAAAATCTAGAATACATATGACACAAGCACTCCATTTTGGTTATAAGAAAGACAACCGTAACTACATGGCCATTACCAAACGGATCAGACTCATAATTGATCTAAGATTTTGGCCAGTGCACAAGGAAGGTACGAATATTTATAAAGGAATAGGAGTGTTTTCATCAAGACACATAAAAGTATAATGCCCCTCTTGCTTGGACTTTGCTTCCCACCATCAGATTAAAAACTTATACGACCTCCGGTTCTAATTAGAAGACCTTATTTGTAAACTAAAAACAAGGTCTTCTAATTAGGACCGGAGGTAGCATTATTCAAGTTAAATTATACAAAACTCTCTAAATTCTGGACTATGAACAAAAACCCCCCTGAGCTTTCAAATTCTGGACTATAACTTAATAATGAATATTTCCCTGAGCTTTCAAATTTGCACACATAGTCCCCAGTCATTAATTATATACCCGATTAAACTTTAAGCTGTTAGTGATCAACAAAACTAATTATGAGGGAATTATTTGTATAAATATAAGACTTAAGAGGGATTCATAATAAAGTTTCAAAAGGTAGGGAGATTATTTGTGTTCATGAGTTACATGTACATTAGGCTATTATTTATTCAGCTTTAGAAAGCTATATATGTAACTCGTTTCCGATATTCAGCCAGAGCCCAAAGCGGAAAAACATTTCTGTACATTGGATAATGGAGCATGCAATTCCTGCTGAATACACCAGTGACTTCCTGAAAATATAAGCCACAAATTAACATTTAATTCTACCATTGATTGATTTATAAGTTTAATTAAAAAATTATTCCAAATTAAATGAGTCACTAAAAGGTACTAACTTGTTGTGGCCAATCCCCATTCTCCAACTGAGCATTGATTAAAAGTCTTGCTCCACGATGAAGAGGAGATGGATCTCTCTCAACCTTCCAATAAAATTTGATTTTAGTTTATTTTTTATTTTTAAAAATTACAAATAAACATAAATTGCTATTCACAATAAAGAATTAAATAGAATAACCTGTCCGGCATATATTAGACCCATCATAGCCCATGCTGTTTGTACCACATTTGATCTATTACCTTCAAGGGGAACATATTTCTGCATCATTTATTAGAATTCATAAGATGAAAGGGCACACAGTTATAAGTATATATAATAACTAACCATCTTTCTCTCCTATCAAGTAACTTGTTATAAATTTTATAGGAAAAATTAATCTTTTTATTCTTATAATTGTAGGTCAATTGTAATTTTTTCCTCAAAATTTGATTTGGTACAACTTAGTTATTATAGTTTTGACTCGGTTGTAACTTAATTCATGAATTTTGACTCAATGTAACTTAATTCCTATAATTTACTATTTAAAATATTAGTCCCTATATTTTGGAATATAAAATTATATATTTATGAAACTTAGGGATTAAGATTTCAAATTGTTAACCTATTGGAACTTAGTTAAAGTTTAGGGATCGAATTTTAGCTGAGTTACAATATATAAACATTGAGTTGTACTGAGTTAAAATGAATTTTTAAGGATTAATTAACAACAGAGTCAAAACTTAGGGACTAAAATGAATATTTATTGTTCCAATTTTATATATTATATTGATAATTAAATTATATTTATATACCTTTTTTGGACATGAAAGATAGCTCTCACCCCACCCACCATCATCCCTTTGCGATATGAGAAGAAAGTTCACAGCTTTGCGAATGGCAAGACAATTATTGTAAGTCTTACCAGCAGCGGCAAGGCCACCTAATGCAAACCAAGTGCCATAAGTGAAGCAAACACCCCATTTCCCATACCATCCCCCATCTTCAGTTTGTGTGGCTTCAAGGAATTTCACAGCTTTCTCAATACAATTCTCAATCTCCCTTGTTCTATGCCGTAGATATAGCTTTGAGAATAAAACTAGAGCTTGAATTGTTGATCCAGTGCATTCTACATATTCATGTTCCACCACGATGTCTTGGAAGAATTCCGTAGGATTTAGCACCTGATCCCAGAAACAAACTAATCAAATTATTGCCAACTATATTACTCCCTCCGATCCTAAACCTAGGAGTTAAATAGATAACTAATTAATAAATATTAAGAAGAATAGTTTAGTTAATTATTTGCAAAGAGTTTTAAATTTGTAAGACAAAATAGATTGGAGTTTTACATTTATGAACAAAACAAATCCCTCAACCAACCTCAACATTTAGGACTAGAGGGAGTATTTTATTTTGTTCACATAAGTTCTAATTCAAATATGACATGATTCTTACTTCTAACCAATCTTGACCTTTCACTGGTTCCCATGCTGCAAATCCACCTTTTTTACTCTGTAAATATATAAATTTTAAAGTTTATATAGTGAATCAATGCACAAAGGAAAAAAAACATATATAATTGTAATGTGAAATACTTGCCTGAAGTGACAAAAGAAGATTAATGGAATCATAAAGCCTTTCTACTTCCATAGTTTCACCCACAATCTCTTGTGGTAGCATTGACAAAAGAAGACAACACTAAAATAGACCAAAGCATGTAACAATTAAAAGGAAACATCATAAAAGGTGAAGATGAATGAGGAAATTGAGTTGTTTAAGTATAGCAAGTTATTAACCTTCAAAGCCTCTGCAGTACAATCAGAAACTTGCCATCCATGGTCCTGATCAGAGAAAGTCCATGCCCCTTTTGTAATGTGACGATACATACTTTTAAAGTCACCTGAAGGGTTGTCCTTAACCTAATAAGATCATCATAATCAATATCAATTAATTAGGGGAAAAAAAGAAAAGGAGATTTAATTTGTGGCAGATTGGTGTTTCGTCGTTAATATATCAAGTATAATCCATCACAAATTAGTTGAATTCACGAAATTTTTCTCACAAAATCTATTGCAAATTAAAAAATAATTACAATAATGGATTTGTGAAAATTTGTCCCTTTTTTTGTGTGTTACACACTCCGTTCTGTGTAGTTAGTATGATATAAAAATATGAAAATTAATTATTTAGTCCTTGTAATTTTGTCTTGGTTACAACTCAAATTGTTAAAGTTTAACTTGATGCAACTTAATTTGTCGAATTTGAGCCATTTAATCCGTTTGTCCATCACAACTTAGTTCCAGAAAAACCTGATGATTTTTAAAAAGTGTGAATAAAAAATTGAATAGCTAAAACTTAGTGGTTGAGTTGAAGAAGTTAAACATTAGAATTTGAGCTACAATTATTTAAAAACTATATAAATTAAATAAATAATTTTTCTTAAAATATAGTAAGTCACATTGTTTATAAGGCATAAATGTTGGCTCATTCCTCAAATCTTACGCAATGCGGCATCGGATTCACATGTATTCTTTTAGATATCATTGCAAACGCATTTTAAAATGATCGTACATAAGATGGCAAAAAAAAAAAATCACATATAAAAAATATTTAAAAGAACGCTCATATAATTACAAGCCAATCAATTAATGTTTCTTAATTAATAAGAACGAAAAGTTGACCTGAGATTTCTTTATGAAGTCATGCCCTCTTGCAAGAGTAAAAGCAATTTCGCCAGTTTGGTTTGTGGCAAGTAAAGCTTGCACAGCAAAACCAGCATCCCATTGTTGGCTTCCAAAACTCTGCAAATAGTTAATAGCATATATGGATTAAACCCAAAATATTTCATGGAAAAAACCTAAAAAAATACCTCTAAAATTTGAAAATCCTAAATCAGGAATTATTATAAAAATGTGGTGTCATCTGCTTTTCTAGTAATTAATTACCATTAAAGTGCAGTAAAAAGATTGATTTGGAATTTTGAAATCTAAGAGGCATTTTTTTTTGGAATTTTCCATATTTATTTTCACTAAATAAATTAGTCTTGCTAAAATAATAAACTTGAAGATATATATGAGCAAATAATTTGTTTACCTGCATGGTAATTCCATCTTCAGAAACCCATATGTAATCAGGAACCCTAGCAAGATGCTTCTTAAAGGCATCTCCTTTCGGATCTTCAACCCAACAAGCTAGCATACATAAAACCTGTGGCAAATGATGCAAAAGGGAAATTAAATGCTGATTAATTAGAAGCATGTTCGCACCAAAATCAATAATCATATCAAAGTGCTTGGCATTAATTGAGTCATTCTAATTAATATTACCTTTTCGACGCAGCCAATGGTTATGTATCGACTATTTTCATCTTCATAGTGAATATGCTTCATTGTTACTTGAAGAGCTTTCTCTCTTACCAACTTATTGAAGGGCCAACGAGTGAGAAGCGGCTCAGCGAATGTATACAAACTATCCCATATCAAATCTTGTATCAAGGGATGGGGATAGTAAAGATCTTCCTGCAATGATATATATATTCGACATTAATTATCCATGTTATATAATTTATTGTTCTTTAATTAGGAGAAATCAACAAGCTAATTGTGTTTGTGTCCCCATATATATATATATATATATATATATATATAGGGATGAATTATCAGAGACTAAAGTAAAATTAAACTCACCTTTGCACAAAGGCCACGAGCTTCATTCCAATGAATTTGATGGTAAGGTTGAAGGTAGAGTTCTTGTCTGAGCTGAAGAATAAGAGGTGTGATGGAACCCACAAATCTTTTCCCATACAAATACGACATGGGCATGTAAACCAAGCGGCAATAACACCACATTTTAGCTGCATTAATTACAATATCATGGAAGATATTATTATTAGATAATGCAATAGAATTAGTATTGAAGTTTTCTTAATATTAACACACTAATTGTCACTTACACTAAAATAACTTAACTTACCTTGGTTGGACTCGCCACGTTCACTTATGTAGTTATGATTAGTTTTTTAATCGCAGACTATATATATATATATATATAAAAGACCTCATCATATATCTTTGGACTGACTCACAAAAACCTTTGATGATTAGAAAGCAAAACGCCATATATAGCATGAGAAATTACAATATAATAAAATTAAAATGATGACAAGAAAATACCAACAGAAGATTAAGGAACTAAATAGTACCATCTATGATCTTTAATATAAAAGTTAGCTAACAAATTTAGGGTAATTAAAAAAATTAATTAAGTTAGTTATTTGTAATAAATATACATTGACTTCCTTAAATTGCCTATTTAATCATGTATATTGAAACTACACTTACATAGAAATACTTTACAATTAATAGGAATGATTTTGAAAATAGATCATAAATTTGGGAGACAAAATGATTGGGGTCTTATATTTAGGACCGAAAATAGTAGATATGACATAAAATTAAAACATGATTAAACCTCCAAATCTATTGATATTAGAAATGTATGTTCACCATTGAATTACGTACCTGGATGCATAGGAAGGAACGATGGAAGGAGCCAGAACTCTGGTGGCATTGGATTTGTTCCACACCACTCAAACAATCCAAGTATCTACAACAACAACATATATAGTAAACAATATATGAGACAGACGGACATACATACATACATACATACATACATACATACATACATACATACATACACACACCACACACACACACACACACATACATACATACGTATATACATGCATGCATGAAACCTAACATGTAGGGAATGAATAAAATAGAACGTACCGAGAGCCAAGTCTTTCCCCACGAAGGTATGTAGGTGGCACCACCATGATCAAGAATCCATTTTCGAGCTGTGAAACAAGCATTGTCTTCGCCTCCATTGGGTCCTTCTCCAAGCATTCGCATGCATATATAACTCAGCACAGTACAGAACATGGTGCTGTGTCCCTCTATGTGTAGGCCCCACCCTCCATCCTCATTCTTTTAAAACACACACACACACACATGAAAACTTAAAACCGCAACATATGACCGATACCATAAAGCAGGTTTTGATGCTTAAATATGTATATATGTCATATATACCTGGTGATAATATAGGTATCGAAGGATTTCTTTACGATATACTTCCGGGAACACAGCATCAAGATGACCGGTAATATACATGCAAAATACCTGTACCATGTATGCCCATTTGATCTCGTTTAATATTTATTTAATATGAAAATGAAGTACGATTAATTGGAACATGTGACATAAATTTGATAATTCTTTATTCTTATCATTGTACATATATAGCACACCCATGTGTGCGCCCGCACTCTCTAAAATTTCTAGAATCCAAAGTATTATAGATTTGTGATTAGCGTGGAAATTATGTTGATTCTTTATTACAGTAGTATGATTATCAAAGGAGAAAGGAAGAAAGACATTTGCTATTGGTGGGTCCCACTTGACATGTGGATCCCAGTCCCCGTGCTTTTGTTTTTCCTTTTACATTTTTATAGCATTGTACTTCTATACTCCCTTTGGTTATGTATGAAAATACAAATAACTGGATTATGCAAATTAAAAATCAGTTAAAACCGGATAAATGCAATGTATGTGTAAAAATATATATTCTTTCAAAAAAAATCTTATTATTTGTGAAGAGTGAAAATAAGAGGTAAAAAATTAATACAATAATGTAAGAGGTTATTCAAGAGAACAAAACTCTAAAAAAAAATATTAAAATTTCATACATCATTTATGTATATTTTATAAATAAGACTTCTAACTCCAAAGACCTTTTGTTATAATATTGAACTTGAGGAAGTGTATTTGTGATAGGTGGGTATCCCTTAACATTTGTGGTCCACCAATGAATAATATCTATTTGTTGTATTTCTTATAGCACAGTAAATATGCATATGCGTATATATGGTTGGTATATATACCAGAGCTTGCATGAAATAGAGAGGTCCAGCAATATGAGCAGGCCAGTGACCATCTTTCGATTGCAATGCGCTTAGATAATGAGTTGCCCTTCTCACAGTGTTCCCAACTTTTTCATCACTTATTTCCTCTCCTTTCTCTATCTTCGCCCTTGGTATTGTTTGTTTGAAATTCTTTTCTCTCAAGAACTGTATAAAGTCAATCACCATTAATATTTAACATTAGTTAATATATATATAAAAAAAGTAACAAAGTAATATTTCCAACACTTAATCTAAGATCTATTTAATTAAGTTGGATGGATTAAAAAAATAGTTAAATTAATTATTTGTAAAAGATATGTTTTGATTAGTCTAAAATATCTTTTTAAATCATTTGCATTGAAACTATACTCATACAAACTCTCTTAACATGTGCAATCAACTACGATAGTTTAGGGAAAAAGATAATTACGGAAAACAAAATAAATTGAGATATTATATTAAGAAATATTTGAAAACTTGGATTAGACCGGCCAAGTTGACTCAAAAACTAGTGACTCGGCTTCTTGGCTGGTCCAAGCGAGCAAGCAGCTAATTCAAGGAAGAAGCGAACCCGTATTACTCAGGAGCAAAAGTAAAACCATACTCCTTAATACATACTCTCTTAACATATACAATCAATAGGAATAATTTTAAAAAATGATAATTACGGGAACTAGTATTTGTTAAACTCAAACCCCTACTAGTTCTTATATTAAAGACCAGAGGAGGTAGTACAAGACGGAAATATAATATTTGTCAATGAATCAGCTCAGTTTGCCAAATATATAATTAATTCATGGGATTTGCCGTTTCTTTACTGTATGTAATCTAAAATGTTGTGATATTTATTTGGAGAGGAAATCAAAATCAAAATACTACCTTCAATCCCAACTATAAGACCTCGTTTGTAGTCTACAAACGAGGTCTTATAATTATCACAGGAGGTAGTATATAATTATACAAGGAAAGTAGAAGAATACACGTTAAAAAAGAAAGAGAGACAATTAGAGAGTTATTAGCCTAAGAGGAAAACAGTACCTGTACGACAATACCTTGAAATGCCACGGAAGCTAGGTACGTTCGTACATAGTATAGGGCTTGAGGTTTAAGCGATTATAGCAAATAATTAAGGCATGAAATTGGCTGCTTTGATTGAGGAAATAATCGAAATCAAAATATGCAAATACAAGTACATATGAAAATATGCGTAATAAGTAATAGCGGTAAAAAGTTGGAAACTTATTTAATTTTTTAGATAGGTTTCATAGTTTTTCATTTGTTTCATTGAAATATGCTAAAGATAACTTATAAATAAAATAAAATCAAAGTGGTACTTTAATAAAAGTATTCGTGCGGAAAAGAAGGATTTAATATAATTGACTTTTCACAAAATTAGGATTATAAAAAGCTTTTACAAGACATTTTATATTAGAGAGAGGAGCTGAGTGTTAAAGAGAAGAGACACCAAGAAGTGAAAGAGTGAGGGAGGGAGTTAGAAATTTCATAGACAAAATGAGTAAAAACTTGTATCTGAAAAAAACCATCAATGGCTGTTCGCCAAAAAAAAAAAAAATCAAATGGCATGCATACATACTATCTCTGGTCTTTCTTTAATATATATAAGACTAGATAACTAACTTAAAAAGATTGCAAAACTATTTAAGTTGATTACTTGTAACAAATATATATATTTTAAACCATTCTACTTAGTTATGTGCATTGAAACTACCCCTTGATAGGAATTTCTTACTATCAATAAGTATATTATAGAGAAAAAAATTATAAATTTGAGTGAAAAATAAATGGAGATATTATATTTATCAACAAATCTAATTCTCAAACTAACTTTTATATTAAGAACAACAGGTAGTACATAATGAGTATCTATTCATCATATAGGTGCGTGAGATAGAATATATGTGGAGATAAAAAGTAGTGAAGAAGAAATGGAAGAGAGAGAGACCTGAAAACGCCATAGAAGGTCTCCACAGGGCTTGAGACTGAATCGATTATTGTAGAACTTTTGACGAGCAGCTTCAACTGCAGCTTGTTCTTCTGGAGTTCCTTCATCAGCATGAAACTCCCATATTTGCCTTCCACTGAAGTTGTTTGTACTGAATATGTACGGATCCTTCCCTCCCTCTCCTATCTTCAGCCTCCACATTTTGATCTCTGTGTGTGGGGTGTGTGTGTGTGTGTGATGTGAAATATCAAACTTAGTTTATACCCACACACACATTTATATGCTAATACGCACCGGTGAAACATATTAACGTTTCTCGTACAAATGCTAAACCTATTAAAGAAAACAATTAATATGTAAATCCCTATATAATTTCACCTCTTTTTTAATCAAGCTCTTATAGTTTTTTATTGGATCATTCTATTTCTGATCTTTCAACATAATTTGTTAAATTGTAAGAAAAGGAGTTTGGTCATACACATGAATTAATCTTACCCCATCAATCTAAATAGAAATCAAAATCAGGTTATTGACTGTTGCTATAATAGACTATACATATCATGTTTATATATATATATATATATATATATATATATAATGGTGTAAAATTAATTAAAATGGTGAAAACTTCTTTTGGTGGGCCGAAATGGGGACATAATTTCCTCGGATCTGAATTTGTTTTTTCTAATCCTTAATTGTGTTGCTAAAACTTCAGGTGGTAAATAATGCAGCTCATTTTTATGCTTGCTATTAATTTGTCCATTATTTTGATGCAGAAGACGAATTGTGACAAGAAGATTATGTTTTTTCAATTTCCATTTTTGGTTGGTTAATTTTAAGGATGCAAATATGATCAAATGAAATATCATGCCCCGTATGTGGAATAACAAACTTAATTATTGTTGATCAAAAATTTGTGCATGATTAATATTGGAAGTATAGAAAAATATTTCTATGAAACTTTAAAGCTTATCAAGATGTGTACGTAAAGTCTGCGAGAACTTTATGTAATGTAACCTAATTTGTATCAAAATTTTACTTGGTTTTGAGATTTTTGAAACGCGTCATATATCTAGGTGATTTGGTTGATTACTAAAGATAAATTGAAATGAGAATAAGCTCGTGATGCTCTAACAAGATATATATCCTCTATTGCATGCCACAAATTAAAAATTTTATATATTAATGGGAGAGCTGGCCGTCCAAAAGTAATCCCACAAAAGCTTGATCTAGATTAATTGGTTGCTCGGATAATTAATAATATGATCTAGAAAAAGCGCCACCTTAGGGGTGGCCAAAGGGTTATCAAATACATACATATATATAATATAACAAAATTTATATCAAGTTACCCATATCAATAATGTTAAATTCATAGGTAAAGTTCCAAAGTATACATATGCATTTTAATGACTTACAATAGCAAAATAATAAATATTTATATAAGTGAAATTATATATATAATATAACAAAATTTAAGCCAAATTACTTATATCAATTATGTTAAATTCGTAGATAAAGTTCCAAAGTATACATATGCATTTTATTGACTACAATAGCAAAATAATAAGTATTTATATAAGTGAAATTATAAGTGCACAAACGCATTTTAACAACTAAAATCAGTAAATGTTTCAGTTTTAATTTTTCATAAAAATATTGCCAACACGTTGTAGGGGAAGAAAAGTTATAGTTATCTTTGCAACGATGGTTAAGTATGACATTAATGATCAAAAGTGTAATGTAGGTTACTGTTATTCTGGCAAAAACAAATATAGGTTACTCCATCCTGTTGGGTGGGAGGTTATTAAATGTGAGAGTAACTATTAATAGGCTAACAAAAAGTCAAATTTGGTGGTTCAATATTTATCAATCACCCCCCTCCTGTTGGTTGGGCAAATTAATTAGTACAGTGGCGGTCCATGGTAATCAAACTCACGTTTCAACGCGTTAAACTCATCGAGTTCATGTTTTCAGCTCTGGAAAATGTGTTAACACACATATAAAATCGCTTTTATTGAAAACTCATAAATAATGGCGTGTTACCCGTTTAAACTCAGTGAAACTGTATTAACTCGGTAATTTATATACAAGTTGAAACCAACAACAGAACTCACCGAAAGCAACCAAATTTTGAATTTTTCTCCTATGCCACTCAGTGCGTCATAAAAAATACTTGAATATTTTAAAAAAATCTATGCAATAATATTCCCAACTCATAAAATTTTAATATACAACGATAAAATCATTTTTGTTAAAATTACGTAAAATATTTATTAAAAAATTGAAATATTTATATCAAAGAATGCGTAAAAGACAGTTAAATTTTTAACTGTAAATACCTTTAAAATATTGAAAATCCAAATCAGTGTTCTAAATTATAATTTTTATTAAATTTATGATTATTTTATTATTTGATTATGTATAATGACTTTTTGTATGAATTTCATAAAAATATCTATATTGAGTATGATAAAATATGAATGTTGGCGGGTTTAATTTTAATTATTTGGGTTTAACTTATATTTTAACAAAATTTTTGTCATTTTTTATATTTAAATTATTTAATTATATATTTTTAATAATTATTTATTGATAGAGGTAAACTTTTACGAGTTTATGATCTGACTTCAAGTTTAGTACATATTTTACTTAAACTCATGAGTTTGACAACCTTGGCAGTAGTTCTCCAAACAATTGAAGAATAATAAATACTGTATGCATTTGTACCAATAGTTATAGAACTTTAATTTATTTCAATTATTAGTTTTACTAGACGCTTACTAATATAATTGATATGAAGCTTGCAACTTCTAACTAAGTATTTAATAGAATTGATTATTGATCTTTTTTATACAAAGAATTGATTACTGAATACGATGGTCTAGATATTAAAATCAAGTAACCTATGTAGATGATTAAAAAATATAGGGTTAGCTTACAAATCTATTTACAACATAAGTATTTTATCATAAGAATCTAAGAATCTGACACTATAAACTTCTTTTCGATGCAAAATTTATACATGACATTAATAAAAAAAAATAGTACGAAATGTTGACTATTTAGCAAACATATAAGTTAAAAAAATGATGTGAAAATAAAATTTTTTAAAATGGTACAAAAATGTCACAGTCATTGGAAATGTCATGCTTCCTTTTGCTCCATTTTTTGGTTGACATGTTTGTTAAACAGTCTACATTAGGAGGTGTTTGGAAAAAAAACTAAACTATGGTTTAGAGAACAACTTCTGGGAAAGTTATTTTTGAGAATAGATTTTGAAAGAATAGATTTTGTAAAAAAGTGATTCTGATAAACTGAGAGTGTTTAGATAGTTGTTATCACAAACACTTTTTATATGTACAAATTACTAAAAAAGACATAAGGTAATATGATAATTACAAAAAAGATAGATTTTATAATATATTTTTATTTGAAATAATAAATTTGTTAATAATATATTTTTAGCCAATATAATAAATAATATATAAAAAATGTAATTAATAAATAATTAATGTGTATATGTATTTATAAAACATAAGATTAAATATGTTTTTAGAAAAATGATTATTTTTTTCCAATATAAAAATATTATTTTGCCTTAAGGATTTTAAACATGAAATCCCAAAACATTTTTAATTTTCACAACTAGTTTTTTTTTTTAACAACACACTATCTTTGATCTTTAATATAAGAGCTATTTTGATATTCAATTTGGTCCTAAATAGAAAACCCTAATCCATTTTATTTTTCATATTTATGTACTTTTTTCAAAGTAATCCTTTTAGTAGTTACACATGTTAAATATTTCATTAAATGGTGCTTCTCTCACATATTTACTTTATATCTTTCTCTGCATTTATTAAGTCAATAGGAGTAAATTTTGGGGGGGTCATTAATTAGCTTATAAGTGACTTATATTTAGAAAGAAATTTTCTTCCTGACCCATGAATAGGAGCAAAGTGGCATATGATGTATATATGTATGCATGTATGATTCTTACTTCCAACCAATCTTGAGCTTTGACTGGCTCCCGTGCAGCTAAACCACCTTTTTTACTCTGCAAATGTGTGAATTTGAGTTATATATGCTACTAATCAAATCAAAACACAAAGCAAACAGTACCCTAAAGAAATGGCTTTCTGTCAAAGGAAAAAACCATGAAAAGATAACCTCTAGAGAGAAAATCCCCTAAGAAATTCAATGAAAGGTTCTGTATAATTTGAATTAATGAGATATTTCTACGAAAAAATCATTGTTTTATTATTATAATGAATCATAATTGCAATGTAAGATTACTTACTTGAAGTGACAACAAGACATTGACAGAATCATAAAGCCTTTCAGATTCCATCTTTTTACCCACAATCTCTAGTAGTAACATTGATAAAAGAAGACAACATTAAAAAAGAAAACCAAAAGATATATATATATTAAATGGGAACATAATTTAATAAGGTGAATTTGATAAAGTAAAAAGGTTAATCACTTTCAAGCCTTCTGCCGTGCAATCTGAAACTTGCCATCTATGGTCTTGATCTGAGAAGGTCCATGACCTTTTGTAAATGTGACGATACATACTTTTAAAATCACCTAAAGGATTCTCCTTAACCTGATAAGATCATCAGTTTTAGTTAGTACTACAAGAGGACTTATGCATTAATATACACAAATATAACAGCTCTCAACTAGTTACTAAAATGTTGACCTAAGATTTCTTGATGAAGTCATGTCCTTTTGCAAGAGTAGAAGCAATTTCGTCAATTTGGTTTGTGGCAAGTAAAGCTTGCACAGCAAAACCGGCATCCCATTGTTGGCTTCCAAAACTCTGCAAATAGTTAATGGCATATATTGACTAAACCCAAAATATTTCTCGGAAAAATCCTCAAAAAAAATCTTTAAAATTTTAAAATCTCAAATTAGGAATTATTATGAAAATGTGTTGTTATTTGCTTTTCGGATGTAGTAAATAATATTGATTTAGAATTTTGAAATTCAAAACGTATTTTTTGGTATTTTTCCATATTCCTTTTTACTAAATAAATTATTCTTATTAAAATAATAAACTTGAAGATATTTATGAACAGAGTAATTGTTTACCTGCATGGTAATTCCATCTTCCAAAACCCATATGTAATCAGGAACCCTAGCCAGATGCTTCTTTAAAGCATCTCCATTTGGATCTTCAACCCAGCGAGCTAGCATACACAAA